ATGACACCTCGTTGCCTAAACCAAGTGCTATGCACAAATCCAAAAAAAATTTGCTCTACACTTAATATGTAGGCGTTACTATCTCCACTATACGCCTAGCGAGACAGGGAATTCGGCAACGGTTCCACAAAAAAATTAGGATATAGACCCAAAATCTATATACCTACATATGACAAAAATGTGATTCTCACATGTGTCTCCCAAATAAAATAGGTTACCTGAATTAAAATTATCAAAAGTGAAACAATATTCCAAAGGAATGAAATCAAATCAACATACAAACTCGAAAATACAGACATGGGATAGGATGAACTAATTACTTAAAGATGACATATTGTCCTCATCTGACACAAAAAGCTTGAAATCTTTAATGTGCCACTTACCAAGATCCGAACCATTAAAATCTGACAAACGATAAACCACTGGTGACAATTTTTCCTTGATAGTTGCTTCAATATACTTCGGTGCTAGTTCGGACATAAACTTGTTGACAGCACAAGACAAAACCTTATTTATTTTCCAAACTCTATCACCCACTTGAAATTGGACTTCTCTTCTACGTAAGTTGTAACTCCTAGCGTTACGTTCATATCCTTTTCGAAGATTAGCCTTAACCATTTCAAAATCTTTATCTAAACCTTTGACTTCTGAAGCATACATGTTACGGTCACCTGGAATTATCTCGATATCTTGATTCTGTTGATCCTTATGATCAACACCATAATAGTTTCCACTTAAAGGAACATGACGGCCATAATTCAGGAAAGCTGGAGTATATCCAGTCACTTCATGCTTTGCAGTGTTAATAGCTTGTCTGATCTTTGCTAAATTCTTGTCCCAATCTACGTGGTCTTTAACATACGTACGTATTGCTGTACCAATGGTTCTATTGTTCCTCTCCACAAAATTACACTGAGGTGCATATACTGGGCTAAACCATACTTTCTGAACGTTATACCTATTACAGAGCTCAATTAAGAGAGGATTGTTCAGATTTGAGGCATTATCACAAATCACATATTGAGGAACACCAAACATTAGGAAAACATCATTTTCCAAAAACTCAACAATATTCTTAGCCGTGGCCTTTCTCACAGGTTGGACTAAAGTATATTTACTAAACCAATCAGCAACTACTAATAACCACGTATAACCTTTCTTTGAACGAACAAAGGGACCTATCAGATCTATTGCAACTATTTGCCAAGGAAACTTGGCCTCTCTCTGCTTACCCATTTTACCCAATGGAGCATAATTTGGTGTCTTCTGAGCACCACAAATTTTACATGACCTGACAAACTTAAGCACATCAACACGCATCTGGGGCCAATAATATATTTCCGGAATACGGGACAAAGTTTTGGAAAATCCAAAGTGAGCACACGTAGGTGGCTCATGACAAGACTTCATAACTTCAGACCTTTGTGGTTTGGGCACAAGAATTTTCCACTCTACATCATTAGTCTTAAAATAATTTTTGGTAGGGGCAAACTTATAAACAAAATCATTCTCCACCTTCCACTGTGGAAAATTAAGGGGGGATCGGACTATCTTTGATCTCAAATTATCGAACCAAGGGTCTATTCTATCTAGATCAATTTCTAAACAATTAACATGGGGACGACTATCAAAATCTTTCTTTTTAAAAATTGGTTTCAACGATGGCCTGTAAGGTCTATTAGACTTAGACCCATTCGAAATACAACACTTAGGACAAGAAGATGTGATCACACCTTTATGACCACAACGCCAACAAGATACTGACTTACTCCTACAGTCACGGGAAATATGACCTGGTCTATTACAATTGAAACAAATAATTTTTTTCGGATTTCTTGGAGCTTGATAAGGGCAGACTGCGTTATTGGAGGTGGGGACGAAAAAGATTGCATCATTGGAGGTGGGGACGAAAAAGACTGATTTCTTATTTCAGTATTCTCTGGAGGACTGGGTCACATCACATCACCCTGTAACAACAACAAATCATCTTTACACTCATTGACAAACTTTTTAACATCTTCCTCAACATCATTCATAGGGAAATTTTCTAATCTGGTATTTAAATGTGAAGACCTTGTCTCAAATCTAGATCTAAATTCTACATTTATTGATTGAGCACAACTATATAAATCTTCTACAATCGACTTAATCTCACACAACTATTTTTCAGGATCTACTACATTACTAACCAAATCGACTAAACTTGAAGACGAAGTGGCCTCCTTGGCCAACAAAGCTCTTAACATCTTTCTCTTATCATCAACTGTCTTATTTGGGACATTTTTACCTCTTATGAAAAGCTCATAAGATAACTCTCCTGATTTCAAATGATTAACCTGAGTAGACTTCATTTTTCAAAAATTGGATGAAAGCAAACACACAAAATAACTAAAATCAACTTCAACAACTAGTAGAAAATATGACAATTTTAAGAAACAACCGGTTCCATTTATCACCTGATAGTAAGTCTCACTTGCACTCCCGCGTACTGAAATCCAAAACTCAATCAGTTTGCTGCAACTTCTGCTCTTGACTTAGTAATCAGTTGGTAAACAAAAATGAGGTCTTTAGCCTGTCTCCTAAAAGTTCACACTTCCACTAACAAGGACTAAAAAAATGGTTTCAAACAACATGGGACAACATGGACACTAACAAACAACATAAACCGTACATACAGGGGAAGACAAAATACTAATAATATTGAAAACTTGACCTTTGAGTGAGCTACAGTAAATAATACCAAAATAAACCAACTCTTGTTCCGAAAACTAAATGAGACTGCTCCTAGTCAAAACTAAAACAGCATCTCCTGATCACAAATATTATACCTGTGGTCATTCAGATACAAGAAAGGATACACAATAAACACACAGTCTACTACTGAGACTAAACTTGTCGAATCTTCCCTACGACTCACAATGACTACTCGTACAACAACTTTGATTAACCCTTGGCATTTAAATACACCTTCAGAGATGGTTAATTAGAAGACAAATTACATAATACTACTTCTCAACTACACAGCTCAAACAAAGTCCTTCAAACAAATACAAACATTTACTTAAAATGACCGAACAAATAAAAAATTACAAAAACCGATTATTCTGTAAAATTTGTCAAATCAATAAAAAAAATAAATGTAACAGTAACTGTATAATTTGCTACTGTTTTTAAATTCTTTTCAATATCAATATTTCAATCAAAATTCATATTTAAATATTCATCTCAAATATTTGCTTTCATTTACTTACCAATACATATAAAAAACAATACAGATGTCACTACAAGTACATTACATAAAAAAACAGCAATACATAATGTTGGTTCAAAATACATACATTATAATGCAAATACTCTACTGTTTGTGAGACACTTTGGGGCACTATTCAAAAAGAAAAAAGGTTTCATATAAATGGCAGGGAACTAGGGAAACTGAAAAAGATATGTGGCTTCAGGAAAAGGGTCAAAAATCTAAAAATTAAGGAATATTCAAAAGCCTCGCACGTTGGGAGCCAAAATTGTAACGACAGTATTTTGCTTACCTCAGGGTAAGAACACGAGGGGTAGAAGATTGGGCAAACAAAATAATCGTAACAAGTGCGAACGACACTCAGTTGGTTATTGGAGAGCTGGGTCATGGATAAGTTGAAATAAAGGGTTTTGGATTGGGGTATCTACTAATTGAAACTAAGGGATACTTACATAAATCTCCTGGGCAATTGATAGAACAAACAGATCAAAAATAAACTGGGAACACCTCAAGAAATTTGATATAGGGCGCCACTTGAAGGATCCTAGCTTACAGAAGGAAAGAAAAAATTCTTCCCTAGTATCTAAAATAACAAAAAAAGTTAGGAGATTTTTCTAAATAAAAAAAAATAGATTAAAGAAACAAATCTAACATTTATTATGAGTTTTCAAAAATACAGCTTATACAAAGGCATATTATATTAAAATAGCTGTCAAATACAAATGAAAAAAACTTACATATCTGTTTACAAAAGGTTACAAAATTCTTCGTAATGGTTCTTAGTAGATAATGTGGCCAAATTTTATGGATATCCTTTTATAAAAAATAAAATTTAATCTTTACTATAAATCAAAATATCTTTTACAACACGCCCTAACATAATATTTATTTTAATTACAAATATTTTTTAAAAAAATAATTTATAAAAGAAAGCAAATTTTGTCTTTTTAAAAGAAAATGTCTATTTTTACTTTAAAAATTAATAACGTAAATGTTACCTCAGTTCACACATGTTAACTTAAACCTTTGAACAACTGGCTAATTTCTGTGGGGTATCTAACTGCACATCAACGGAAAGCTTTATTGGAAGCTGAAACTGGCACATTCAAATCAAAACTGCTCCAATATCATTCTACGTGGGGTGAAAAGGCATCTTGGAAAGGAACTGGATTTCTCAGAAAACGAAAAGAAAGCAGGAACTAAACTTGTTCACTGCTCAAACATTATAAATCTTCAGCCAAATCAAAACAGTGGTTAGTGGTCACTCTTTCAGAAACGACATATATTACATAGAGTGAAAATTCCACCATTTTTGGCGAATTAATGCCGGCTTACCACATCACAATTAAACGACCTTTCCCTGCGAGCAATTATTCATCACTAACTTCGCTTGACCCTCTCGATCTCAATCTGCCGGATAGATACCGCCTCTTTTCCCCGCACAACCATTCCATCTTGTCAAATCAACAAATTCTTCACTCAAACTCGTTCAAACTTCCGGCGTTACTACGCTTTAGAAAAAATAATAACATGGTTTGCAATATTTTTCTGGGAACGTTGAAGTTAAAAAGCCATAAATTGTTTTCTTTAGCAAATACGTCTTTATTTATTGAAGAATTATTGCGTATTTAAAAATCTCTACAGACAACACATTTCTAGCATACCAGGGGCGACCTATATAGAATCGAATTTATATTATTATTTAGACATTAAATATAAAACGCTACAGCTTTTGCAAATGCTTTAAGTATTAATGATAATGGTCATATAGTACCGATACAAAATTGTGAACAATTTTGTAATTTTTTAATATTTTTTGGATATTTTTGTTTGTATATTATTTTAATATAGATACCAATTTCAAAATAAGTTTAGATTTGCTTCTAATTTTTTTAAATTGTTAAACCATTATGTTTAATAGTTCCCATGGAGTGTTAATGTTTTATTGAAAATATTTAAGATTGAAGTTTTATAATTAAATCTTGATAATAAAATTTAAAAATCGTTTTCAAATTTGGTTGTAGTTTTTTTATATAAACTCTCGTCAAGACACTGTGTATAAACAAATATCAATTATGGATATTCAATAATTAATTTATGGTATTATTACATTTTTATTGTTTTTTTTTAATTTGATGACAGTATATTGTTTAAACAAATTTCACACTTGTAAATGCTTTCAGGCTTTGCTCCAGTGTGCAATCTCAAATGGTTTCACTGACAAAACCTCTTGAATCATACTTGTAAGGTTTTTGTCCAAAGCGTACTGTTAAATGTCGTTTTAAAAGGAATTTCTGAAAAAACGACTTAAACTGATTTCACACTTTTTAAGTTTTTTCTCAGTATGCATTTTCAAATGTCTTTTTAAATGATATTTTCGAGAAAACTGCTTATAACAAATTTCACACTTGTGAGGTTTTTCTTCAGTGTGCACTATCAAATGCTTTTTTAAACTTCCCGTTCCACTAAATTGCTTAAAACAAATTTCACACTGGCTAGGTTTTTCTCCAGTATGCACTCTCAAATGATTTTTCAAATTTCCTGATACACTAAAACGCTTAAAACAAATTTCACACTGGTAAGGCTTTTCTCCAGTGTGCACTCTCATATGTTGTTTCAAATTATTTGCTTTAATGAATTGCTTAAAACAAATTTCACACTTGTAAGGTTTTTCTCCAGTGTGCACTCTCATATGGTTTTTTAAATTATTTGCTTGAATAAATTGCTTAAGACAAATTTCACACTTGTAAGGTTTTTCCCCAGTGTGCATTTTCAAATGTATTTTCAAATATATTGCTGTATTAAACTGCTTAAAACAAATTACACACTTGTATGGTTTTTCTTCAGTGTGCACTATCAAATGCTTTTTTAACCTTCCTGTTTCACTAAATTGTTTAAAACAAATTTCACACTGGTAAGGTTTTTCCCCAGTATGCATTCTCATATGCTTTTTTAAACTTCCCGATTCTCTAAAATGCTTAAAGCAAATTTCACACTGGTAAGGTTTTTCTTCAGTGTGCACTCTCGAATGTATTTTCAAACGACTTTCTCTGGCAAACTGCTTAAAACAAATTTCACACTTGTATGGGTTTTTTCCAGTGTGCATTCTCAAATGTTGATTTAATTCATCTTTTCTAGTATATTGTTTAACACAAATTTTACACTTGAAAGATCTTTCTTCAGTATGCGTTCTTACATGTCGATTTAAACTATCTTTTCTAGTAAACTGTTTAAAACAAATTTCACATTTATAATGCTGATTTCCAGTCTGCTTTTTCACATGTTCCATTCTGTGCTGGTAAAAACCTAAAATGAAAACCAAACTTTAAAAATTTGTTTATGTGGAAACTAGGAGAAAAAACAAATGTGAATGGGGGTTCACGTTGGAATTCATTATGTGGCATTTATTGAGTATTAACATAAACGAACAAATAAAATTATATTTTAATTTTGACAATGGAAATTATTTATTATTCATGAACTTGCTCGTATTATTGCGGTATTCATTTGACTGGATTTCATTTATGTGCTTCAGTGCAAGTGAGTCCGAAGTTTCCTTCGGACTTTCCTTCCTTTCCTTCTTGCCTGCGTTTTGCGTAAGTCTCTACAGTTCTTTCAAACTTTATTTATAATGTGTTTCAATATAAGTAGAGGGTTTATGCCGGAATGGCCCCACATACGGAAATTAATGTGTTAGAAAGAGAGCGTTCTATCAATGTGTTGGAGAGAGACAGATGATGTCACATGCCCCGACGCGCCGTGGAAGGAATATACTGACTTATAGTTCAACTTTTATCCGCTAGACGTCACTAGTATTCACTTGTCATCCGCCATTTTTCAACAATAATTTATAATTATTTAGCTGTCAAATCTTGTCAATGTCAAATTTTCTTTTCAGCAGTTGTCAAATCTTCTTTTTCCAAATATATCAAATCTTTTCGATTACAATGTTCTCTACCATTTCACATGTTTCAGATATCGTTTGCAAATTTTTTCCTAAGTAATTTACAGGAGGGGAGATTGCAATATTATAAGTCAGAAGGCGTTCGATGTACAGAAATGCTATAATTCCTGAAAAGAAGCGTGGGTTCGAATCAGACACCTATATTTGTTGTTCTTCTTCTTTAAGTGCCATCTCCGCGACGAAGGATTGCAATCATCATGGCTATTATGACCTTCGAGGCAGCTGCTCTGAACAATTATCTTGAGCTGCAACCAAACCACTCTCTCAGGTTCTTTAACCAGGAAACGCGTTTTCTTCCTACGATTTTCCTACCCTCTATTTTACCTTGTAAATTGTAATTATAAGTCTCAAGATGATGAATCTTTTGCCTCTCATTACATGTCCGAGATATTGCAATTTTCTTTCTTTTACTGTATTTTCCATTTCCCCCTCTCTGCCTATTCTCCTTAACACTTCTGCATTCGTGACTATACACCTATGAAATCCTTAACAATCTCCTAAATGTCCACATTTCAAACGCGTTAAGTCGATTTATTGTATTCCGGTTTAATGTCCATGATTCAGCTCCATAGTAGAGTACACTGTGTACATAGCATTTAATTAGCCTTATTCTGAGGACCAATGTCAGATCTTTGATGCATAAAATCATTTTCATTTTCACGAAGTTAGCACGTGCTTTTTCAACTATGACTCATATTTCTACAGTATAATCATTATTTTCTGTGATTATTGTTCCCAAGTAGTAAGTATATATTTTTAATCTCTCAATCTGCTGGTCACTTACCATTAGTATTTCATTTGTATTGTTGTTCTTGCTAATTTTCATGAATTTGTTTTTTTTTATGTTAAGAGAGAGTCAGTATTCTCCAATATATCTTAATATTTTGTTAATTATTCTAAGCCTTCCAAGTTGTCGGCTATTATGACTGTATCGTCGGCATACCTAATGTTGTTAATTAAACTTACGTTCACTGTTACACCGACTGTCTCGTTTACAAAAGTTTCTTGCATGATTTCTTCAGAATAAGCAATAAACAATAACGGCGACAGTATGCAACCTTGCCTGACCCCTCTCCTTATCTCCACTTCTTCTGACACTTCTCTTCCAATTTTCACATTTGATCGTTGGCTGTATTATAAATTTGATATCAATGTTACATCCCTCATATCCAGATTCTTGTTTTTGAGTACTTCTATAAGTCGGTCATGTTTTACTTTATCAATAATAATAATAATAATATACGTTTATTCAAATCCATAAGTATTACATTAATTTACAATTTCAATTTCAGTTTACTTACAGTAACATAAACGTAAAAAAAGTCTTTAAAGCATTAACATGCTTGTTGACTTAGCTGTCTAATATTAACAGGTTTAATGTTTTTTTTTTACAAATTATTATTTCATTTTTACAGTTTCTAGTCTAATCTAATTTGTTTCGTTTTTTTTTATCTAGTATAATTTAAATTTATTAAATTGTTACACAACTCCCTTTTTTCTTTTACCCAAGCATTAACTAATTTTTTATGCAAATAAAAATTTTTGATATTTTTAAAATTTATGGGCAATTGATTGTATATTCTTGAAGCAAAATATTTAATTGACCGTTGCGTGATTGTTTTTGAAGTATGAAGACATTCAACATTAAATTTTCTTCTTGTTTCATAATTTGACACTTTTACTTTAAGAGGTATTTTATCTTTATGAATATTTTTAAGTAGCTCTAAGGAGTACAATTGCCGAACATCAAGAACCTGAGTTTCATGAAAAAGTTGGTCTGAGGCTGAGGGATATGTTTTTCGTTTTCCATATATTAGTTTAAGAAACCATTTCTGAGTATTTTCAAGGGTCACCAGATGGCAATCAGCTACGCCACCCCATCCTAAAATCCCATATACAAGATGAGATTGTACTAACGACAGGTAAAGCATTTTAAGCTGTTCAACATCTAAAAACTCTTTTAAATAGCGGAATTTTTTTAACAGTCCTCGTATTTTTCTTATAATATTTTTTATTTGTAAGTCCCATTTAAGGTGCCTGTCAATTAAAACTCCTAAATATTTTATGTATTCTGCTTTAAATATTTGTTGTTTTTTATTTATTTTTAATGAGTTAAAAGTTGGCAGAGAATTTTTTATATTGCAAAGGGTATATATTTAGTTTTTTCGTAATTTATTGTGAGTTTATTTATTTGCAACCATGTTTTTATAACTTTGAAATCTTGTTCAACTATAGTCTTAAGATCTTCCCAATTTTCGGCCTTATAAAAAATTGCGGTGTCATCAGCAAAGCTTATTATGTTTCCATCAGTTTTTAGTTTAAGCATGTCATTAACATAGAGTGTAAAGAGTAGAGGGCCTAAAACGGTCCCTTGCGGTACGCCATAATTAATTACTTCAGGATCACTTTCGACACCATCAATTTCTACAAATTGTTTTCTGTCTGTTAAGTAACTTTTTAGTAATGTCAAAACGCGTCCTCTCAGACCATACTTCTCAAGTTTCTCTAACAAGATGCCGTGAGATATCGTGTCAAACGCCTTAGAGAAACTACGTTTATTAGACTCAAAAGCTTCTGAGATTTGTGATGTTAGTTTACAAATAGCATCTTGTGTAGATTTTCTTTCTCTAAAACCGTATTGACAATCCGATATTATACTAAACCTATCCAAAAAACTCACTAATCTATTTTTTAAAATTTTTTCAAATATTTTGGAAAAAACAGACAACAAAGATACTGGTCTGTAATTAATCACGTCTTCTTTATTTCCTTTTTTAAACAGATGTTTGATTTTGCCTATTTTTAGACATTCTGGAAAACAACCATCCTGAAAACATGCATTAATGAGAAAAGTTAAAGGAGTAATAATCTCTTCCTTAATTTGTTTGATGGTTTCTGTCTTAATCCCATCCCAGCCAGGAGATTTTTTGTGTTTTAAAGATTGTATTGCATTTACCACTTCTTTTTGGTCAACGAGATACAAGTACATGCTGCTTTCTATCCTATCTATGTCCTCAATCTGTTCATTACAAATGGGTATTTTTTGTGCATACCTTTGTCCCAATGTACTGTAATGTGTATTAAATTCATTTGCAATTTCTTTTCTGTCAATTATTTTTTCTCCTGTTTTGGTTTTAATCGATTCAATTTTTGTATTTCCTTTTATTTTTCCACACAATGAATTAATTACATTCCAAAGTGATGAAGAAGAGGTCTTATTTTTTTCAATTCGTTGTTTTGTATAATTTCTTTTTGCAGTTTTAACTAAGTGTCTTAATTTATTTTTATATTCTGTATATCGTTGTTTTTTTAAGTTATCTGAGGGATCTTGGATTAGCTGATCATACAATCTGTGTTTTTCCTGTACAGACTTTAAAAGTCCCCCTGTCATCCAATCTTTTTTAAAAGTGGTTTTTAGATCATTTCCTTTTAAAATAATTGTATTTTTGTTTATTAAATTTAAAATTTTGTCAATGAAAAGTTTTACCGCTTCATTTTTATTTGTTTTATTGTAAATATCCAACCACTTTTCCTGCTTCAGATTGTTTTTTAGATTTTTGTAGTTGATGTACTTCTTTATTATTATTTTGTTTTCTTTGGTTTTGTTTAGATTAGGAATGGAAACTGCGATTGGATAATGATCTGAAGTAGTATTATTTTCAAATATAAATGAAGTTATGTTAGTGTAATCAGCAGGTCTTTTTATAAAGAAATGGTCTATACAAGTTTGATTTCTAGGTCTAGTTGTTTTATTTATATAAGACAAAAAATTTTGTGAAGCTAGAATATTCTGGTATTCTTCAGTGTGATCTAGATCCTCAAACAAATTAATATTGATATCACCAACTAATATATGAAAACACATTCGTTTTTTACTTATGAGGTATTGATGCAAATCCTGATTAAAATTGTTTATCTTTACTATCGGTGATTTATAGATAGCGCTCAAACAGATTTTTGTTTTATTATAATTTAAAATGACTTCAAGTAACTTGATGTTCCCCAATGGAATATTCATATTTTATAGAAGATTTAATGTAAATAATAACTCCATCATTTTTGTTTAAATCGCCATAATTGTATAATAAATCGTAATTTTTTAACAAAAATGGGGTTTTATCAATATCATCTTGAATGTGTGTCTCCGTGAGAACTAAAATATCAAAGTTGACATTTAGAGTTGATAAAAACAAACAAAAATTATCAAAATTCTTACCTATACTGCTAATATTACAATGAATTATTTTTAAGTCATTTTTTATTGTCACTGAGTAATCCTTATTAAAACTATCACTACTTACACATTTTGTGTCCACTTTTTCTTCTTCGTATTCTCTAACATAGATATCCATTTTTTTTAACTAGCACACAAATTTTTACCGCACGATTAACATTACACTTAATTAATGTTGTTCGTTTGACCTGGTTTTCCTTTTTTTCTTTTCTTCAGACGAAGGATTTGATGTAGTGGATGACTTTTGTGGCTTGGTTGATTTTCCAGTAACAGCAGACACAGATGGATGTTTTTTTGACGTTGGCTTCGTTTCGTTAGTCTTGGGTATTTTTCGGTTTATTTTATCCTCTTCTTCCGAAAAAGTTGTGTTTTCTTCAAGTTCTTTGGGCGTATAACTTTGATGGTCTATAAACAGTTTGTTGCCCCGTATATAGCTGTTTTTTCCTGGCTGTTCTTCTCTTAC